TGGGTTGGGGGGTGGGGGGTTTGGGGGATGTGCCAGGTGTAATCAGGAGACGATAAGCACGTCACGTGTCCCTTCATGATGTCTGTGGTGTGATCGTTGATGAACGTACCGGCCTGTGTGGCTTGTGGTGGGATGGCCAGGCTTCTCGTCGTTTTGCACACAAGATACAAGTTCAGGTCCCTCCTGGGAATATTATATCCTTATTTTTTTGGGTAAAATGTTTTACTGCGCTCGCAACTCCATTAGGTCATACGAGTGCGCGGGACACACCAAACATTTTCAGTTGGTAGGAAATTTGAATTTTGCCCCGGTGGCGGCTGAAGCCTACTCGTATCGATTTTAGACCACCAAGGAATCTTTAACGTGCGCAACTTGCACACGGGACCTCCGAGATTTTTTGCCCTTCTTCAAGAAGGCTAGGTGTAGATCTTTCCTACCAGAAGATCAGGGGTGTGGCTGAAAGACAGCAGTAAGGAGGAGCCACGGAGTAGCAGTAGAAAGGCTGCAGAAAGAGTCAGGAACCCAGATGAGGGGGCAAAGGAGGTGAGGGGGTGGGGGCAGAAAGTGGAGACGAAAGCAGACGACAGAAGATTGCTAGATAGCAGGAAATAAGGAGAAAGAAGACAATTTTAGAGCAGAAAATTTTTCAGTTGCTACCCTGATTCGAACCCGGGACCTTTAAATGAGAGGTGACCGCCTCAACCTCTAGGCCACGAGAGCCCCCAGATCGTATCCAGCTCAGCCCTGTTTGACTTTGGCAGTGAGCCCAAGCAGTGTTCTCTTTCGAATTTAAAAAAAAGGATTGAAGCTAAACAGTTGACAATTTAACATTCATTTCGGAGTGGAGTCGAACTATCGTATTCGTTTTAACCTTTTCCCTTCAAACGGGCGTCTTTCCTGATGACAAGTTGAGGGGGGTGGAGGTGGGAGAGGAGGTTGGGAAGAAGAACGGTATAGGCTGTGTGAGGGGGAATGGTGAGGGGCTAACGTTTGAAACTGACGGCTGTAGTTCTAAGTCAACGAATACGTCAGGTTTACCAACTATGCTCTAGTCTGGACAATACCAAACGGACAACTTGTCGACCTGATCATTGCACCGAAATTAAGTGGCGAATTGCCCTGATCATCTGCATGTGCCTCTGAATTTCGAAAAAAACAAAAACAAACTTTAAATAACATCTCAATTTTCGTGTATATGCGACAAATATATGTTTTCTATAATATGGTCATAAGTATTTGATTGCAGTCGGCGCGAAAAAGTTTTATTAGAACAAGAACAGTAGTTGAGTGTTAGTTTTTTCGCCACTCAGACTCGGGGTAATGAGGAGGACAAGTTGTCCCTTTGCTGGTGTCCGGACTATAGAAGAGACGCATCGAAGATGTTCTGTTATGTGATGGCTTCAATGGGAATCAGAATTAACCAACAGTAATTTAAAAAAACCCACATAATATGTCAAACTGCATACGTGGGTGGTTGGCGGGTGCTCTAGTGTGGTTTGCTCCTTCTTTCCAATCAACATCTATCGTCCTTATCTTCCCTTCTTCTTTTTTATGTTTGTTACTCTTTTGTAACACCTCTAATCTTCTGGCGCCCACGTGACCTTATGCGGTTGCGAAGCGCTGTAAAACATCTACTAAAACAAAAACTGCATGTCATGGGATAGGTTAAAGTAATATAAGAAACGTCGTCAAAGATATGTTTCACCAGGTTAAAAGTTCCGAAGACGTGCACAATGGATCGGAGGAAAAATAAACAAGAGGAAAAGAGTTGGAGAGGGGGCGGGGGTGGGGTGGGGGTGTAGGGGGGAGGGGGTGGGGGGGGGGGGGTTGCAAGAGGTATATGTGTTGTGTCAGCAAAATATCAGAAAGTACACGATGTTAGTAACGATACCTTGGCTGGACTGTTAGTTTTTCTTGTCGCCTTTTAGTTTAGTTTTAGCAGAGGTTTTACGGCGCTCGCAACTGCACAAGGTCATATGAGCGCCAGAAGATTAGAAGTGTTACCCGAGAATAACAAACATAAAAAAGAAGAAGAGGAGATAAGGACGATAGATATGTGATAGGAAAGAAGGAGCAAACCACACCAGAGCACCGGCCAACCACCCACTTGTCGCCTTTGTTTCAACACGTCCTGTAGCTTGGAGATGGCCTTGACCAGTGCCGAGGAAATGGTGATAGATTATTGGTGGGTGTGACCGGACGGGACAAGAAAACCTATAGGAAAGAAAATAACAGTAACTGCAACAAACTCAAAAGTTTCATATGGGGCATATTGGTGAAATCAGACGCTCATCAAAATAAA